ATCTTTAAGCATACTTGTTCAGAACACATCAAATGGGCCAACAGTCATGTTTTGTAATTTGAGTATTACTTGTGCTCAGTCTCATATATCAGACCTGTAAAGTGTCTCCTTTTGAACTCAAGAAAGTTATAACATGCAGTGCGTGTTGTATAGGTCAACCGCCCTTGAAGGTATGGCGTTTCCATCCAGCTATTTTACCCTGAGGACATTCCAAATACAAACATTTTAATCAGAATTATGTTGAGAATTATGCTGAGACTGGTGAACTGCAATTGAAAAAGTATGTTTACAGCATGAACTCCAAATTAATTTCATTATCAGTTTAAAAAATTGCACAGTTAAATTAAGAAGGAGGAATTGACATAAAATGTCATAGGGTTAAAAGAGTAACTACAAACTAACTTTTTTGTCCAGTTTTATTTCAGGTCAATTAATGTACTTATGGTTTTAAGTGATAAAATAACAACTTACTACTATGAAGAAAATGTTAGGGATGACAATCCATTATAGACAAGAATTTACTTTTTTCTAAAAGAGTACTATAAACCACCAAAGAATTTAAAAAAAAAAAGATGCTTTACTATTACTTTAAATATAAGTAAAAGAAAAATGTGGTTACCAAAAAAAATCCCATAAAGCCCCTTTAATATATGCTAACAAACTGTCATCTTTTTTTTTTTTTTGAGACAGAGTCTCACTTTGTCGCCCAGGCTGAAGTGCAGTGGCGTGATCTGGCTCACTGCCACTTCCACATCCCGGGTGCAAGTGATTCTTCTGCCTCAGCCTCCTCAGTAGCTGGGACTACAGGCGTGCGCCACCACGCCCAGCTAATTTTTGCATTTTTAGTAGAGAGAGGGTTTCACCATATTGGCCAAGCTGGTCTCGAACTCCTGACCTCGTGATCCACCCGCCTCGGCCTCCCAAAGTGCTGGAATTATAGGCATGAGCCACCGTGCCTGACCTAGTTCTTTCACCGTTAAGGTATACAATGGCTCAGGCTTCTGAGGTTTATATGGTGTCAGTCAAGAAGGTCAAGTCACAACTTACAGTGCTGTGCTTCTCAAAGGGAGTGGAGATCAGGATGGCATCATCAAAATGCCCTGTGTAACCAAATATCCCTGCCAATTACGCCCCCAATTCTATCTTTGCTCCTAAAGGATCACATTGGAATCTAGGGAGTGGTTGGCGGGGCAGGGGTACATAAAGACGGAGTAGAGAGAGTCTGAAAAGACTGCCCAGGGGACTCTAACATGCACTCCCAGTAGGTAAGCACTAGACTCCAATTTCCCAAGTTTCACATCGGGGAGATAGTACACGACTTGTAGAAGGTCAGAATGTCTCAAAATGCTTCCATCAAAAATGTTTGACTATTGCAAATAGCTCATGTTTCAATGGAAAATGTATATGACAATTTTTACAGATAAGTTTTTAGAACTTCCATTCATATGAGTTCATCTCATATACTGGAATTCATCATTCAAACCAAGAAAGAAAGCCTTACAGTAAAGAGCTAGTCTCCTCAGCTTCAACTTTCTATCTACTTCAGGCTAAAAACTCACTGCTGCACTGAATATAACGTTAGTAGCATTAGTCTAAGCTACTACCTTCTCCATGTTCCACCTGGTTATTTTTCTGGTTCAGTTTCTACATACTAAGAAACTGAGTTGTTTCTGTTCAGCTTGTTACATGGTAATAAGAGGCATTAGGCAGAGAACGCCATGAAAAGCACGTAAAGGATGAAACTAAGAATAAAAGCAGTTCCTAATTCAAATTCAGGAAGCATTTCCCCCAACTATAGTCTCCTAAGGTTGTTAATCTATTTCCTATACCCGTCCTTTTGGAAATTCTCTGTTGCTGCTTTTTATTTGTGATTTTTCCCACTTTTGTCATGTACATTTTGAATTCTAGCTTACTAGGTTCTCAATCAGCCCAAAGATGCAAAAATCGTTTTCCTGGAGAAAATCACAGTAGTTAGCAAAAGGGCTGCAAGAGGTTTAGAAAATAGCCTGAATTAAATATTCACAAGTTATAAAGTTGCTGCAATCAGCAAAACCATGTATTTCCTAATAAAGTTGTCTGCTTTAGAATTATCAACAGCTTCAAGAAAATATCTAACAGGAAATTTAATACTCATCTCTACTCATTGCAATTTTTTTTTTTTTTTAATACAAAGTTGCTGCAATCAGCAAAACCATGTATTTCC